GTAGTATACATTCTCAAATGCCTTTTCAAAAAAAAAAAAAAAAAATTATATCTTTTGTCCTTAAAAAATGCATATTGTTCTTTTTTTCATCGTCAATGCTTAACCACCTCATATTGGCCCAGAGTATTGAAGCCTTAGAACAATATTTTTTTTCTTTAAAGATTAAAAGCCAACCTTGTTGTATATTGTATACTGACTTAAAACCAGATGTGTCCATAACTATTGTAAGTGTTAACTAACGAATGAATGCATACGACAAATACAAGGCGTTTAAAGGTTTCAATGACAAATCAACAAGACTTCAAAACCAAGATAACTGCTCTAAGTCAGTCTTCCCTCTGTAGTCGTCATGAATTCCACTTTTTTTTATAAAAACACATATGTGTCTAACCAAATTTAACTTTCCTCTTTTAAAAAATTGTTTTAAAAATGTATGCTTTACCGGAACGGAACTACCATGCGGCAGACCCCTCAATACGGGGAAGGGGTGGGGGGGGGGGGGAGAAAAGCAGGACGTTTAGGGGCTCAGCTCCGACCAAAATAAATCGTGAGTGATCTCCCCTAAACTTTCTCGAATATTCTTAGATAGCAACTCAGGATATAGACATGATTTTTAATTACTTAAATTTTTTAAAATAGAATGAAATTTCGCAGAAAAAATAATTGCGCACCAAGAAAGCTATTATTAACTTCTCTACGATGCAGTTTTCTTATGTATGATGTTTAAGATTGTATCACGGAAACATTGTGTTTTCTAAATATGGCGAAAACGGTTGCAAGCCTATTAGTTACATTATTGGGTAAGGTTTTATAAATTAAAACTAATCAAAGCATTTGTTTTTATATTGTAAGTTATTACAATTTTGTTTCAAATAAAATAACAGTAGAATGTTAGAAAATTAACTAGCTTACTTGTTGCTTGTTGCTACGATAGGACAAAAAAGATAACTCATAAATGATTTAAAGGTAGGATAATCTATCGTTTTAGGTACGTAAAATCACCCGCGACTGGTAATGTGAAAAACCGGTGACTCCTTAAATTTTAATAATTATTTCACATTTTGAGGAGGATTAAAGTTTTGAAAAATACAAAAACGTTTCCTTGTTTCATTTATGAATCTATTTTTAAACAACTGAATAAAAACTTTTCAGTAATAAATGAAGACTAGCGATGTTTTCATCAGATGCAACCAAGCTCATTTACTATAGCAGCCATCTTGTTGAAGTTTTATTTTGTTAAAGTTATAGCGGAAGGTTCAGGCGAAACCACTCTATTTTACAAATGGCTGATGTTTATATAGCAAATCTAGCTCGCAAACACTGCTGTTGAAAGTTAATTTCCTGCCTATATTGATATATTTAGCCATTGATTTTGGTTTATTATTCAGTTATCTATAATATTTGACACAAATATGTCACACTATACTTCTATTAAAGCCTTGACAATGAGGTAACGTTTTCGTACATTACTAGCCGCGGGCGATTTTACGTACATAAAACGATAGATTACCTTCGCGTCACACCGTAAGTATGAGCCAGTGCCTGTTCAAAGAATCTGATTGCGCTTTTGGCTATTCATAGATACTAAATTTAGAATTTTTGGTTGATTAGAACTCGATTAAATGTAAACAATGTCGGTACTAAATTATTTTCTTGGATCTTAGATATTGGCAGCTGGTGAATCCAACCAAACACGCTGTAAGGGCCATACTCACCAATATTTTTTTATTTTAATGTGCCAGAAACATTTGCGTAAATTTGCTGAATTTTAATTGCGATTGAATAAATTGTGTATATGGTAAACAGACACATAGACATTCATTTTTGTCTATAAAAATAGGGTCCGGCGTGGTCGAGTCGGTAAAGCTCATGGTTGCTAAACCGAAAAGTCTCGAGTTCGAACCTTCGGGCAGATGAGGCTCGTTAGCTGGGGACAGCCACTCATCTAGGAGAGACAACTCCAAAATTAAATAACTGCTGCCTTGTAGTTTGTTCTTGGTTGGACAAAGGCTATGGAAGCAAATCCAAAAAGAAAAGCAGGCTGAAATCGGAGTCAATGGCCTCAATGGCGCATAACCAGTTGACACGTACCGCTTAATTGTGTTGGAGGCGTGGTCGAGTCGGCAAAAAGCTCATGGTTGATAAATTCGAACAAAGTCTCGAGTTCAAACCCACTGGCAGATAAATCTCGATCCCCTTCAAGACTAATAATTAAGAACGAAGAAGAAGAAGAAGAAGTCTATAAAAATAAGTAAGCATTCACTCCCTTGTTGTAAAATTTAAAATTAGTGTGTAGATAGATACGTATTGTTGTTTAAGGATAGGCACCACGGATAAAAAAAAATTTATTTAACACATTTCTGGTTGTTTAATAAGTTCATATAATTATAGTTGTTAATCTATAGACAAAAATAATATATAGCCGTCAATAGCAGTACTTGTTGCCATGGAAAACGCGAAAAGGTGTGAAAACTAACACCTTTTCAAATCGCTAAGGCTTTGTTCCCATAAGAGATTTTAAAAAGCGGATGAAAGATTTAGATTTCTCAAACCAAACTATACATTTCTCCGTTTACTCATTGCGATAGCTTGTACTCAATTTTTAATACAAATTTTTACGTAAATTTATGTGCAAAAATTAGGGGGTGGTGTTACATAAATATCAATATTTCCTAAAGTATTGTAGTAAACTTAATGTACAAACGTAGTTTTGTAGTTGGTATAATGCTGAATGCACGTGGAATGTTTTATTCTTGTATGACAAAGGGTTCCAAAGCCTTAGCGATTTCAATGTTGAATTTTGAGTAAAAATGCAAAGTTGAGAAAACGTGAAAAGAAGAGCGGGAAATGGCACGGTACGTTTTCTCTTATAGAAAACAGAAAAAAACGTCTTGTTATATGTGGGAGAACCATTTGTCTAATAAAATACGCTTTGATTTATGTTGTAAGTTTTAGACACATTTTTTTCTATGTAAGCAGAAAATATGTATACAACAGGTAATGAATTTATGACTATAAAGTATTACACATCCTATCAATCGAGCGGTATTCTCAGAACAGCTATCATCAAACCAGATCAAGTTTTGATTGTTAGCCGGTCTTCTCACTTCAAAACAATGTCTTTCTCTACTCAAATTGTAGCTTACACAAGTTTATTGCCTTATGATAATAGCCTACAACACAACACTGGGTACAACGCTTGAGGCTAGACACGCCCCTCCACCCCACCCCACCGCTGGATAGTGCGTGAGGAACCGATGAGCCATAGATTACCAATGTTCATTCAACCGCGAATCTGTGTAGATTGGGTCAAGTACAGGCCCTAAGTGAAAGCTTCTCAGCTATCATATCTAGTATTTACATTCGTTGCTAGCAAACCCTATACGGAGAGATAGGCATACACATTAACACACGTGTCGTATACAGTCCGGTGTAAAACCTGATGAACGCGTTCAAGCATATCACAGCATGCTGTAACAAGATTATAAACCGGCCGTTGGTTGAATGGCGAGAAGGGAATGAGGGGGATAAGGGGGATGGACAGCACATTCTTCATCAAACTAATAGTCATGTCCATGACGCATTGTTTCAACTTAGTATAAAACGTACGAAAGAGTGTTTGATATTGTTCCAGTGATAATCAACAGCACATTTCTAGGCAAAGTTTCACTTATTAAACTTAATGTTGTTGTATAACTTTAAAACAACAAATAGAAGAGTATATGCAAATAAAGTAAACAAACTAAGACAGGCGATTGTTTTGTTTATATAGAAACAAGATGGCTGCCTAGCACACGTGGTTAGTTGCAGCCTATCGTGAATTATTTTTATTTTAAGTACTATAATATGATTGGTCAAGCGTATCAATGAATCTCTTCCCATTCATAATTTTTACGCGCATGCCCTTATATGGAGTTTGATATAAAATTTTACTTTGTAGAAAACAACTTCTATCCCACTTATTTTTAGAACAAAAGAAAAGGTCACTACACCAGCGGGTACACGAGTGCTTGGCCCTTAGATTGCTGTAAAGTTTATGGTGCCTCGCGGGCAATAAATGATGTAATACCCGCTCGAAGATAGCCGCTGTCCGCGTAGTAGTGTGAAAACTTGCCGGGGGGTACCGTGTTTCACATCGCAATAAACGGATAACCGTAAGCTGTAGAAGTCCGAAATGTTCGGGTTAGATAGATAAAAGGTATTAGTACCGAATTAAGAAATAAAAATTTTGGGGAGCAAAATTAAACTTTTATCGAAAACATGGGTATCTCCACCATATACTTAATTAAGAACAAAGAAGAAGAAAGAAGATACGTATTGAGCCCTTTCATGGGTAAAACTAGGTAATCTCTGTGAACTGCTGATTACTTCCCAATTGATTTTTGTTTCACTATGACAACATTTATTTGGGATAATTTTTATCTCATTGAACAAATTATGTGCATGCTTACCTAAGTTAATAAAGCTAGAAATGTTGCTTCTAGGTGCTTTGGGGAATATTTCGACAGACACCGTTCTTTTACTTTAACAATCACTATCATTTTGTAGCCTTGTATGTAAGCTTTGTACACGTATATACTAAAGTAAAGCTGATATAATGTGTACATTCACCACACCTATTTTCTCTATCTGGTCAATATATTCACTATTTTAGTATAAGAATTTATTACACTAGCACTCCTCACAAACACTAAAAGCGACAGAAATTTATTTTATATAATGTAAGATCGCTTCATTTACATTTTGATTATTGTTGCATCTTAATGTCTTCTCTTTCTTTCTGATTTACGTTTAAATATGTTGCAGCTGTTTCGCGTGTAATTGCTTTGGATGTGTTTGCAACATTCTCTCCATCTGCCAGTGTGGTTAAAGACAGTAATGTCAGCTTACAGTGTAGTTGTAGGGCTGGTGCCATGGAAATAGCTTCAACGCTAGTAATTGATTTTAATTCTGGATTGGGTTATAAGTCTTTGTACTCCTACTCCTTAATAAACGGCGATATGTATTTACTTCCTGGTCTACACAGCCGTATATCAGAAGACACATCTGCACGTAATTTAACTAGTATGACGATGATTATTCACAATACACAGTGTATGGATGAGGGAAACTATGGCTGCAAAATTGTTTACCTCAATACTGACACAAGCATGAGGAGTGCTAAAGATAATGCTCAAGTTCTCTACATTAAAGGTAACTTCTATTGATTTTATTTAGCTCTTGTTCAATGTAGGTGGATCATATATGTAACAATTTATTTTCCTTAAAAAAGGTCATGAACAAGAAATGGATCGAAAGAGCTGACCTTATGTTTGCATCAATCAGCTTACGTGTTTAATGTTAATTTTACAAATGTTAAAAAAACAAAAATTTGTTTTAAATACATTTTCACTTTTAAATAATATTATCTTTATTTCACTGTTTCTAAATAAAATATATGGGTTATGAAAAATAATTTAAACAGTGTAATACCGAAATCCAGCCTGGCATAAAAAAAAATCCACTTTCGCACTAATATTCTTCTCCCAAACGTATGCTTTGATTTTTTCCAACACCTTGGAATTTTTTCCTATAGGATCCCTGCCGTAAATTTTATTAAATATAATTTGGGTAGCACTTGTAAAGAAATGCAAGGCATATCAATAACTAAGGTATCACACGTAAGAGTCATTTTTGAGACTAAAAAATATATAATTTAAATGATAAAAATAAATAATTAAATGGTCGGTTTTTTAAAAAGTTATTCGAGTTCGCATCCGAGTCGAAGGCTAGGTCTATAATATATACACACACACACATACACACACACACACACATATATATATATATATATATATATATATATTTATATATATATATATATATATATATATATATATATATATATATATATATATGTATGTATAATTGTATATATATATATATATATATATATATATATATATATATATATATATATATATATATGCATTTTAGTGTTTAAAAAATTTAAATTATAATTTGTTTTAAAACTATTAGTACAATGTTTTAAAAATATTTCTTTATTCTTATTAACACAACACCATGTTCTTCTAAAATATTTGTTTAAAACACTGGTCTATACTGTACGACCTGTCCCATCTTGCAGTTCTTCGTCGGCTTTCAGGCTCGCAAATAATTTCTCAACAGTTCAGATGGCTTCACCTGTTTATTCCCAAACATCTTCTCGTACAAGCCTCGATATTTCACCAACGAACGATGTTACAGAACAAAGCAAATGTCCTGACACATCAACATTCAATACAGAACACATTATAATCAGGACACATTATTATATTTTCTTTATAGTTCCACCAAGGTCTCCAGCCTTTACTACAGTACCACAGAATGAATTCCCTGAAGGATCTTTTATAAATGTCAAGTGCAATGCTAATGTTGGTCGGCCAGGCAAGGGTTCGATACAGTGGAGGTATTACAGTAATGGAGCTGAGACTACCACAATCGTAAATGCACAAGTTACAGATACTCAGTGTATGTTATACTTGAATACTAATTGTTGCTTAACATTTAGTGTATGGTTTTATTTTGGTTTTGATGAAAGCTTTCAGAAGTAGAAAACTCGTTAAATGTATTTTTTTCGTTAACTTTAGTAACATTGCAAACACTGATGCGTGTTTAAAGAGATAATTTATATCTTCTGAATATATTTGCTTCGTTGTATACAATCTCTAATAGATAAGTACTTGGTTAAAGATCGATTGCATCCATATTTACTTGTTTAATTGCTTATTTTGATTCAGCCATATTTTTTAGCGCAATTTCCATTCTGGAGAATTGCGTTTATTAACTCGTCATTTCTGGGAATGGATGGATGAATGAATGTATGGATGAATGTGTGTCCGGGCTTTAAGTCGTATCTCCTCCTCAACGAAGCAATATCGATGACTAGTTCCAAAAGCAATTATGTTAAACAAGGTACGAGAATGAGCATAGGCCAAAAAAAATCCGGGTTTCTTTCACGGATTTCCCGGAAAAGCCAAAAAAAACTAGAAAAAAATCAGTTTTTGGCCCATATCTCGGCAACCAGACTACTTAGCGACTTGAAACATGTACGAATCGATTCCTGTCATAATTTAGAACAATATTGCCGAAGAAAGTTTTCAAAAATATCCTCTCGTTCGGTCACAAATTTTAAAATTACATAAACACCTACAAACCGATCGTTCTTCTAGCTTGAATGCACCCCAACATTATACGTCAGAGCTATTTTTAGATAACATAAGGAAATTGCGCACAAATGTCACTAGACTTTTTTAATTAACTTATTTGGTATAATTAACCATGTTGATGTGTTTGATTTGCCAAATCATCCCTTTTTTGTCTAGCGACCCTGGTGTCAGGTGATGACCCCTGTACAGAACGCTGGGACAGTAGAATAAGTCTAGAGGCCGACAGAACCTTCCAGAACCTAAGCCTGGCCTGCTATGTAGTGAACACAGACTTCCCCGTGACACAACCTGGATGTAACAGTGATAACTTGTGTATTGAGACAGGTCCCATCTCCATATTGTGTAAGAATTTTTTTAACAAACAATTTCATCAATATAATATGTAAGACTTTGTGTAATCAGATACCATGCTAAAACTATTTGAGGAAATGTGTAACCAGACGAATAAATACAAACACAATACAATCATGTAACGGTATGGATTACAAGTAACTATTATAGGTAAAAGGGCGTGGCTTATGTTCTAACAGGCTGAGTTTAAACTGAGAAACGATGTAATGGCGATTACTAGTTGATGCCACGTGCGCCGATGCGCTGGGTGATGTGATGAGCACATATTAAATGCATTCAAGCAGAGTTTCTTCCAGGCATCTCTTCGGGGGGACGAAGCCCCCCCCCCCCCGAAAAATTTTTACCGCCCCCCCCCCCCCCGAGCAAAATGAAATTTATATAATTTATATAGAAAATATATACTTCAAACAGTGTCCGACCCCCCCCGAAGAAAGTTTACCGCCCCCCCCCCCCGAAGATTTCAAGTGCCCCCCCCCCCCCCCCGGAGAAAAAAGTCTGGAAGAAACACTGCATTCAAGTTATGACCCTTATAACAACTCGTTCTGACTTAATAAGTTTTAAGTGAATCCACCTATAATTGCTCGATTACTGTGAGTTTGTATTCACACAATTTAATATATATATATATATATATATATATATATATATATATATATATATATATATATATATATATATATATAATTGCTAACGTAAGACGATCTTGTGCTGCCAGTTTACACAACTTGGTGAGAAAATATACTACAAAACATTTTCCGACTGGGATGAGGTCATTTGCTAAGTACCTTAAGTAAAACAAACCTCTTACTACAACAATACCTCCCTTTATCTTGAAACTGCCATGATTGTATAAAGTCGTTTGTTCACAAAGTTGATTAAACGTGTACTTTTTTCTAAGTCAGCCGCTGGCATGTCGATGTTTCCGCAATGCCTAACACGACTACTCGAAGTCTGATGGGAGTTTCTTGAAGAATTTGTATTTGTATAAATTATAAATCTGTTGCCACTGTTGTGTTCGTTAAAAATAAGTCAGTAAACGGCAGTTTATTGCTGTTTATTGTTGTCAATATCACATCTTTTATTTTAGCGAATAAAACTGATTTTTTTTTTCAAGTTGAAGTAGCAGGCATTTCTATTTAGTTCAAAATCGATTTTGAAATAAAAAGAATTTTTCTAAAAAAAGAATTGATTACATCCTTTTGTTAATTTAAACTTTAAACTACAAATATCACTATTTGGCTCAAACATTAAAATGGCTATCTTCTCTCCTGTAATTTATTTTAATTGTACAGACGGTGTGTCTGGCATTACAGTCAACAGTGCTCCCCAGTCTATGAACTCTGAAGGTGGTACAACAACACTCACCTGTTATGCTGATGGTAATCCTAAACCCAGCTACACCTGGACTAAAGAGGATGACGTCAACAGGACATTAACTGGCATACAGGATGGAGATGTCTCTAAAATTGTTCTGGCTAATTTTAGAAGTGACCTGGATGATGGCACATACAAGTAAGTTAAGTAAATTTTCTTCCATATGGTAAGTCCAAAAAGAAAATAGTAATTATTTTATTGTATGGTGCAGCATGACCTTGTATTAAGGCAAGATCAACAGTTATATTTTTTATTGTCAAGTTGAATTATTTAGTTTAATCTAACTCCCTCCCTCAACCTAATATCTACATATTCTATTCATTAGCTGCACAGCTTCGAATGTTGTAGTGGGTACACTATACACAATAAGCCGGGAGGTTAATGTGAATGTTGGTAAGCATGAATATATTTACATTGATTGCTTTAAAAATTAGCAAAACGCAATGAATTTTCAATGTGATTGTTGTTTTCGTTCCACCATTTCTATTCTGCCGCAAGTCGTGTTTGTACATGCATTAGTAAATACTTACATAATAATATAATTAAAATCATAGTCACACTTGGTTTTTTTTTAATTTGTCTAGTGGCTACGACTACAACTTATCGTACAACAAAAACATCAACAACCTCAGGTTTTTCCACCAATGTGACCAAAGCTGTGATAGCTGATACCAGTCAAACAAGCGAGTACATTTCTGTATTGTTAGAAGTACTAAAAGTTTTTTGAGTCATGTTGGTAGGCCTACATGTTATAGTAAACACTTACATAATATTAAACGTTAAATTTCTAGTAATACGTGGTTGTGTTTTTATAACTTTTCTAGTGGCTACGACTACAGCCTCAGGGAACTCAACTAATGTCACCTCATATGTGATAGCTGATACTGATATCAGTCAAATCAGTGAGTACTTTTCTGTATTGTTAGTGTTACTAAATGTTTTGGTAGTTTAGGAAACATTGACTGCAATATGAAAATAACACTATTAGATTGTTTAGCTTTGTTAAGAGTAAAACATAGAAAAATGTTTTATCATAAAAATATCGATTTTAATTAATGTATAATGTCTTGTAAATTTTAAAGTTATTCTATGGTGTTTGTGGTTTGATAAATACGCATATCTTAAAAATAAACTAACGACCGCTCTAAAAAGGAATGGAGATTAGTTAGTGTATTTTGGTTTAAAAGTGTTGATAAAAAATTGTTAAATGTGAATCTTTTATTAAACTTTTTGAACATTATATTTGTCTCAGGTGATGAAGAAATCGGCATAATAATAGGCACTATAGCGGCACTTTTTGTGATTGTTTTAGTCTTATTTACTGTGTGGTATTGCATTAAAAAAGAAAGGTAGGTAGCTGGCTAAAAGATATTTCAATTGCTTTTACACATATACGCCACTAATAATTTTTTTTCAAAGACTCTATTTCCGATAACTTTTGCATCATTTCATTTCGGTGGACGTAAAGTTCTTAAATAACTTTGACTTCGATTTATGCCAACTTTTGATTTAGAGAAACACACTTCCATTTTTAATTTACTTATTTTCTTACCTTTGTTTTATATTTTAGGTAATAGAATAAAAGAATAATTTCCAACCAAGAACACACAAAAACCGTTAACGATTAAGGATTATTACTATTATCCTTTAAAGAACAAAACGTGACAAGATAGAAAGTCAAACAAGACATCTGTTTATAGGGGAACGTTTCTGAATCGGATTTGAATACATAGCCTCCAAAAAACATGTTCATAATGACAACTTAAGATAGCAGCAAGCCTAGACTATTAATGTTTAACGTTTTTTTTTTTTTTGCCTTAGAATGAATGACTTTTACATGTAGATCGTAAAGAAAAATGTATACATTAAAATATTGCTTTTAAAGATATGTATCTATAAATTTACAAAACTGATTTCTTGTGTAATATGCTCTTTTTAATCGCTGGCTCAATTACCTTATGTACATCTAGTTGATCATATGGTTATATTGTTAACATGTATAGAAATGAATTAATTTAGGGCACATATGTGTCATTGGAATTGCAGGAAAGGTGTATTATTTTTTTTTATAAATTCGGATGATCTCTAAAATGTTTAATTTTAAAACCACATAATATCTGAGTGAATATTATAAAAACTTGTGAAACTTTAATGTAGGTGGTGTAAAATGTGCCAGAATATTGCTCAAAGTCGCTGCAATTTGGACAAAAAATAAATAGTCTAAAGTTACCTACCCAACTTGTGCAACGTTTAGTGGGGTCACAATGTCTAACGAAGAATTTTTTTTTTTATTATCATTTACTGAAGTAAGAGCCGGATTAAACAATATATTATTCTTGTTGTAATTAAAAAGAAAAATAAGTTTACCAATACCTTCATTACATTCCTTACGTTATTTTATTGATTGTCTTATTTAATGCACTTATAGTGCAGCGACACCTATGTTTGACAGAGCTGCCTAGTTTTTATTCTATATCCTCGTTAATAAACTTCATTAACGTTCGAAAACAAATAAAAATAAACAGCTCGTTATTAATGAAATTGTATTTTTTTTTCAAATTTTCACAAACGATGAATTTATCCGATTTGTTAAAGCAATAATTGAGATTTGAATTTTTTTTTTTTTAATATTTTTTAAGTGTTTCAGCGGATCAGCATGAGAACAAAATATACGATAAATAATTATAAAATACTATTTTTAAAAGTAAACACTCTATCTATATATATATTTCTCTTCATGGAGACCGTAATAAACACCAAGCTGTAAGCGCTCCTAGCAGCCCTCTCTCTCTTCCTCTCTAGGCATATCCCTACCACCCCCACTCCCAAATGGTCTGGTGAGCTGTGGTTCACGCTAAATGTTTACAGTCGTAGAGCCGGGTTTATTGACGGCTACTAGGGGCAGATAATTTAGTTTGAAACTATTTTAAACTTAGAGGAGGTAACTAAGAGGAGGCTGCTTTCACGGGGGGGGGGGGGATGTAGGGTAGGGGGTTGCGGGAAAAGAGGGGGGGGGGGTTATCGTCCTTAACGAGCTACTGATCGTGTTTTAAGGCAAATATTTTCAGATGCAGCCTTGTTACTGTCGAATTCACAAATTATGAATTACTGAAAAGTGGAAAATAAAACAAATAAATAATGTAATGGATGAAGTTTACCATACAAAACGTAGATCTATTATTTAAAGAGAGTGATTTCTTCAGCACCTTAAGGTATTTAAAACAAAATGCTCGGATCTTCCACAGCATAGCACAGTTAGAAGGTATTATAACCTTACATCGAACAGTGACAAAACACTACAATTGACTCTTTTATGATTAATTCCACAATATTTTTATTGTTTTTGTTAGCGCATGCAATTCATCATCAAAAATAAAATTAACGTGTTTCCGCGATTTTTTATTGGTCTAGTTTAGCGAAATGAGGATGGCACGAATTTCAAACCAGTACGGATTTCCCACCTCTACCTTACACGGTAATGCAAGCTGAGTACTTTACATTAAAAGGTTTGAGTATTGTATTTTATTTGAACATTTTTTATATAAAGAAATACAAATGAAATAGTTAAATGGCTATTACATAAACGAATCAGAACAAACGCTTATTGTGGCCATTAATATCAGGTTAGAATTTTTAAAAAAAAATGGAAAATTGTATTACAGAAACATCCTAATATATAAATCCCCACGTTCGCACATCTCTATCTCTCTCTCTTTCTCTGTCCGCAAAAAATTTTCGCCGGACATCACGTCAGAATCGGCAGCGATATATGGAGAACTTTTTACGGACTTTTGTTGAAAATAATATGTTAGATGTTTTAAATGTATAACCACAATTTTAGTTAAAGAAGAAAAATAAAAATTAAAGGCGTATTCGAATGTAGAGAAACAGTATTATTTATGCAACCGGAAAAGCATTAATAAATGTGAAAAAGAACGCATAAAACTGTGACGTCACTATTGCTTATACATTAACTAATGACGTCATCTGCCGTGTTTTGAATAAAAAGAAATGAACTATTTCATTCAAATTTGATTTAGATCTACGTACACTATGAAATGTATACAATACAATTTTTCCGGCCTAAACTCATAAAATTTATTTTACGTATTTGGATTCTAGATCTAGAGATTCTAGATCTAGACTAAATCTAAATCTAAATCTACGCAATAACTAGATCTAGACGTAGACGCTAAGATCTAGATTTAGACTCTAACTTCTCTAAAATCAATTCCAAAAATAAATTTCTATATTAGGACTAAACTATTTCAAGACTTATTTATTTTATACAAAATCTTTGTTTGGAACTGGCTAATTTGGGATAAAAAATTTAATTTGAAAGAATAGGCACATTCGCGTAAGTTAAGATTTTAAAATACGTGTTTCATTCTCCGTAATTTATAAGGTGCCTAAATAGCGGAGATGTTAGTGTACTATAAACCACGCAGGTTGTGCGGGTTCGAGACACACCAAGTCAACTTGGTTCATATATTTTTTTTTATTATGCTCGGGCTAAACTTAAAAAAAAAAATTCTTTTAGGAATCTAGATCTAGATTGTCGGGTGTCCGATAGGGCACTTCCCGGCGCCGCAGGCGCTTCAAATTTGGCAGGATCTTGCCTTGGGGCGACAGAACACGGGGGCCGGTTGGCCGAAAAGTCTACGATGAGGGGGTCAAAACTGACCTCGACTGACCGGTACCTTATATGAGCTATAAATCGAAAAAAAATGTCCACGGAGGAACCTCTTCATAACTCTTGAGGTCGTAGACCGACCCTCGGGCGAATTAATTAAGCATGCAAATTCTCAATGTTTTCGAAAGCCTAAGCGAAGCTGGGCAGCATGCCTAGTGTTCATATAATCCACGATGTTGGTTTGATAAACTATATTTTAATATTCAATTTAAGTTGAAAATATTTCAATTTTTGTAAGTTGAAGAAGTTGTACGTTCAGTTTCTCTTAGGTTAAACAATGTACTGTATATCTATGTGTTTTTCTACCAAACACCCTATTAAATTTAGACATATCTCTCGTACGCTGGGAACTAAGGCTCCAGTTTTGAATATTTAGATATATATGGGTATTTTGGGAATGTTTATAAATACAGTCAAACAATTTAAGCAGGCTTATCCCTTAGCCCACGTTCACTAGTTTTATTAAAAAGAGTTAATCGCTACAGAAAATGGATTTATTTTTGTTCGAATAAATACACATATATATGCTTGATGATGTTTTCTTAAACTATCCCCGACTTTCCACTCTATTTGCTGTAAATACTCAGTAAGATCTCACTTTACCTAAGTATAACCGAGTAGGAAGTGACGGGCAAGTGTCCATTTGGGAAAACAACCTTCGGGCAAACGGCATTGGCAAGTGTCTTCAGGGGAAAAACCGGTCTCCCAACCAACATAATACCATTACAATGTCTAAAATATACATTTATTAACTGATTTGACTCACTCGTGTTCTTTGTAAACAGTGTTTCTTTCAGACTTTTTTCTCCGGGGGGGCACTTAATATTTTCGGGGGGGGGGGGGGGCGGTCAACATTTTCCGGTGGGGCGGACACTAGTAAAAGTATATGTTTACTATATAAATTCCATCTTGTTCGGGAGGGGGGGGGATGGGGGAGGGCGGTAGGCTCTGCCCCCCCCCCCCCCCGAAGAGATGCCTGAAAGAAAGTATATTTTTATGCACCTAATCTACCTCTGCTTACTTTTTCTTGAAACCTATTATCCTCTTTTGAGTATAAGAGCAATTATGGCAAGTACTAGACTAACTATCAAGATTTTTATATTTATAATCCAACAGCAATATCACACATCGTTATACAGAGTAGCAGAGTTTACAGGGACTAAATATAGAGACACCAATACTAACTTAATTTAACATTAGTGATTCTGTCTTACAAGAAAAGTTCGAGGTCGTTCATACATTAAATTATGCGTGTATTAGATTTTCCATTCAAAACTGCGTCTAATTTTAACATATCAGTTTCTGCTGGTATGTGTTTTATCGTTAAATAATGTAAAGAGAAACAAAACAACGTTTTTGTGCTGTACAAGGTTGTATTCTCTCTCGGCTTCTCAGTTTGTGATGAAAGAAGTTTTTCTTTTTATCGGGGTGGGCGTACATATATTTCGAGTGTGTGTGGGGGGGCGGGGCTGTTTTATGTATAAAATGTCTAAATCAATTGTTTTTGTTTGGGGAGGGGGTGGAGCTATGCCATTCTCCCCATCCACCGTCACCCCGGACAAAGGTATGCCTAAAAGAAAATTTGAATAAAGGAAGTGAAACAGTAGGTGTTCAAATTATTTATTTACAACGTAATAGTTACTACAATTAAATAATACAAAACGGTAAATGACATTAGAATGAAGTTTAGTCATGTCATTCGATATAAAATGTTCCGTTGTACGTGGATGTCTCATTTGTTGGGATCTCTATCTGATCGTAGGTTGAGTTTATTTCCGGATAGTCGTAATGGTCCTCGACCGCATAGTTCAAACCCACCTGGGAGTTTAAAACTGCGTTGTTGCTTTGTGGTGGTCTTGGGGTATTTAAAACTGCGTTGTCTCTTTTTGGTTGTCTTGGTATGAAATATATTCTGATAACGCATTTACCTGAAACACAAATAAAAAATACATAATACAATAATAAAATACACTGGAGCCACAACCCTCACCCCCACCCCACCACCCCCACCCGAAAAAAGGATTTAAAAAATCAAAAGTAAAAAAGTTAAAAATAAATCTAAATTTGGAGTTAATACATAATTAGGCCGCGGCTAACGCCATTTCGTCCAAGTAATTGAGCACTGCTCAAGTAATCAGCTTATGAGAAACCGGAAATAGAGTAAGTACCACAACCGATTACAGTAAATCGATAACTTGTTCTAAAAAACTAGAAATTGCAAATAATAAATAATTATGGAATTTCCTACATCTAACTGAAACAGTATTCACGTTTTCGTTTTTTTACAGACAGACACACACACACACGCACACAGATTTTTTATATTGACAAGATTGTTAAAATAATTGGATTTTTTCGACTCAGTATGGTGTTAAACGTACATATTTGTAAAAGAACTAGAACCCCCTGTCAGTGCTTGATTTACGTATAAGCTAAATAAACTATAGCGTTTCCTAATTTATTTTACTAATTAGCAATATATATGACATAGTTAAATATACTGCTTTGGTAACGTATATACTGTTTGGGCTCATAGTGAGGTCCCATATCTCAAATAGCTTACATCCTAAATATAGCCCTGCTACTAGCCTCTCACACTACATATAATAAACGCCGGCTAACAAGGACATAGGGAGCCAACCAGGTCCTTCTGAGCATGATTTATCAAATATATTTTTTTCTTTATTTGGTGGACGATTAGCCTACTGTTAAATTAATTGGAATAATGTACACCTTAATTAATCCTATATTTAGAAGTAGACAGACATTTGCACAACAAAAATGACATGGATACAGTTTTCGTTGGTGTATATTCAAGAGTGCTCATATTTGAAAAAAGACACATCTTGTAGCTAGTTACTAACCTTTCTTTTTAAAGCAGTACCAAGAAATAACTGAGACTAAAACAATCACTAATACAACAGCTATAGTGCCAGCAATGATGATGCCGATTTGTACATCACCTAAGTCAAAAAATAATATTCAAAACGTTTTTATTAAAGAATCACCTTGGACAGTTTTGATATCTGCACTTTAAAGCTAATGCTCCCTAATTCATCTTCTTTGCTTTTTACAAGTTTTATTCAACTCTCTTCCTCTATCTGTTGTGCTTAGAGCTTTGTTATCGATCGAAAGTGCTGAGCAAAATTTCAACCATTTCTATTTGACCTATTCGTTTCAAACGTGGCACGTGGATCAAGACCAGATGACAATGCAGTCTGAGTTCTTCTTCTTCGTTCATAGTGTTGGAAGTGATCCCCTCCAACACGTGCCAACTGTTTAAGCGCCACTGACTTCGATTTCAGCTCGCTTTTTTTTTTTGGATTTGTCCAACTAATAAAAACTTCAAGGCAGCAGTTGTTTGATTTTGGAGTTGTCTGTCCCCCACCTAACATTAAGTGGGCATTTGTTTTTTTAGTCCCATAATTATATTGTATTAACAATTTTGAAGTAGTTAAAAAATGCATAAAAAACGTTTTAATAACATGCCTTTATGTAATAATCCACTAAAAAGAAGAAAATAAATGATTTTTCCTTAAATATATAATAATGAACTACTTTTTAAATAACTTAAATTAAAAACATGCGCCGCTTCTTAAATTCGAGTAAATGTTCTCAATGCCCACGTTTAGTTTTAAATATTAAAAAAGTAGTACATATATATTAGTACATATACATTAGTACTCTATATATTTAAAGGAAAAAAATATCTTCTTGAAAATTTGTATGCATTTTTAGAACTCTGGAGAAATATAATTACCTTTAAAATTATGCTTAGCTATTACCAACAGCGAATAAAAAAAACTCAACATCCAATATTTTAATGATAGCAAATTTTAAAATACAAGCTTTCAATCTAGAAATGATTTAGTATAAATGGTTATATAAACCACATATATTTAAACTTGACGTATAGGTCTGTCTGAAATTCTTGTTCCGTTTGTAATATTCTACAAAACAAGCTTAAACTTTCCTTGGCATATTGCAATCACTGTTTCCTAAACTACAAAAACTTTTAGTGCTTCTAATAATACAGAAATGTACTCACTTGTTTGACTGGTATCAGCTATCACAGCTTTGGTCACATTGGTGGAAAAACATGAGGTTGTTGATGTTTTTGTTGTACGATAAGTTGTAGTCGTAGCCACTAGACAAATTAAAAAAAAAACAACCAAGTGTGACTATGATTTTAATTATATTATTATGTACGTATTTACTAATACATGTACCAACATGACTTGCGGAGGAATAGAAATTGCGGAACGAAAACAGCAATCAAATAGTAAATTTATTGCTTTTTGTTAATTTTTAAAGCAATCAATGTACATATATTCACACTTACCAACATTCACATTAACTTCTCTGCTTATTGTGTATAATACACCCAATACAACATTCGAAGCTGTGCAGCTAAGGAATAAAATAATTATGTAGGTAGTTGTTTGAGGGAGGGAGTTCGATTAAACTAAATAACTCAACACGACAGTAAAAAAAAATAAAACGTTTTTTAACGATGCCTTTATACGAAGTCATACTGTACGATAGAGAAAAAAATACTATTTTCTCTTTGGACTTATCATCTGGAAAGAAAATTTACTTAACTTACTTGTATGTGCCATCATCCAGGTCAAGTCTGAGATTAGCCAGAACAATTTTAGAGACATCTCCATCCTGTATGCCAGTTAATGTCCTGTTGACGTCATCCTCTTTAGTCCAGGTGTAGCTGGGTTTAGGATTACCATCAGCATAACAGGTGAGTGTTGTTGTACCACCTTCATAGTTCATAGACTGGGGTACACTGTTGACTGTAATACCAGACACACCGTCTGTAAAATTAAAATGAATTTGAAGAAACTTAATTGTCAGCACGCTTTTTAAAACAAGTTAATAAAAAGTTAAGTGACAATTTAAGCGCAATTTCCTTATGTTATCCATAACAATTTTAAATTTTTTGTGACCGAACGAAAGGATATTTTTTTGCGTTAAAAAAAAAGACAACTATATTAACCTATATCAACGGAAATAGTTTTATTTTAACGAGAAGGCCTACACGATGCTCAGTTAAAAAAAGTAGTAAATAGCATCCTAGGTCCTAGGACCTTTAACACAGGTGCTTTGACCATAGGAGCTTTGACCATAGGGAGTTTGACCACAGCGGAGCTTTGACCATAGGGGGTTTGACCATAGGGGGTTTGACCACAGCGGGCCTTTGACCATAGCGGTGCTTTGACCATAGGGGGTTTGAGCATAGGGGGTTTGACCATAGGGGGTTTGACCACAGGTGTTTTCTCAGCAGAGGTTCTTTGATCACAGGTGGTCTATCAACGGGTGTTTGATCACAAGCGCTGTGTCCGGCTTTGATCATAGGTGTGATACATTTAACACGATTTTATACATGTTTCTTGAGAGTACGTTAATAGAAATTAACATGTATTTAAAAAAGCCAAGAACTATATTTTAGTCTCCACATAAAGGCTGGTGCTAGACCTCATAGATTTATTTTAAATATAAATGAAACACAAATAATGCGACATATAACAAGTTTCACAAATAAATAATGTAGAAGTACTTGAAAATACATAGCATATATAAAGGATAAAAAATGATACAAGACTTGCCAACAATATAGTCAAAGATGTAATACATAAAATGGTTAACTAAATGACAGATGTGCTATAGTACGCAAATATGTCAGTACATCTGTTTGACCATATTATTACATCATGTCGAAATTTAAAATATAATTTAGCAACTTTTAAAATGATCCTTACAACATATGGACAGCACTGGACAAAACACCTGAGATCAAAGACCCTATGTGGACAAAACACTTATGATCAAAGCCGGACACAGCGCTTGTGATCAAAGACCCGTTGATAGACCACCTGTGATCAAAGACCCTCTGCTGAGAAAACACCTGTGGTCAAACCCCCTATGATCAAAGCCCCTATGGTCAAAGCACCTGTGGTCAAAGGTCCGCGCACCTCATCCTAGGCCTATACGATGCTAAGTTTAAATGTTCTTCCTATGCCTACACGATGCTCAGTTTAAAAAAGTAGTAAATATTTTTTGTGACCGAACGAAATGATATTTTTGAAAACTTTCTTCGGCAATATTGCTCTAAATTATGGCAGGAATCGATTGGTAAATGTTTCAAGTCGCTAAGTGGTCTGGTTGCCGAGATATGAGCCAAAAACTGCCTTTTTTTCGAGGTTTTTTGGCTTTTCCGGGAAATCCACGAAGGAATTCCGGGATTTTTTTTTTTGGCCCACAATCATCCTCGGAACTTGCTTAACATATTTGCTTTGGAACTAGTCCTCGATATTGCTTCGTTGAGGAGGAGATACGACTTAAAGCTGCGGACACACATCCATCCATTCATTCATAGATCCAGAAATGACGAGTTAATAATCGCAATTGTCCAGTATGGAAATTGCGCTAAAAATGTTTCTGTTATTGAACAATATAGAGATTTCTGCTATTTAAATTACAAAGTCAAAAAATGTAAGATAATCAGAGAAGAAGAAGAAGAAGGGGTAATTAGGGGGAAATGCGATATTAACAATGAACTATAATATTACATACTCTAGAGCGAAGAAGTGATTGGCTGAATGGATGAATGTTGTTTTAACGCAGTAACCTGTCCCGAGTTCTAATGTTTACTCTTCGTGGTTTGAGCTGTGTCGTGACGTTATCTCTTTACGGTTTGTACTTGTTTTTGTATAAATATGAGTGACAGCGTGGATCGGGGCGTCAGTTTAGTACGTCCATTCTTCAGTTAAGTGTAGTTTGGTTCTGTGTATAATAAGCATGTCTTTACTTGAACTATATTCTGGTTAAAACCAGTGTTTCTTCCAGATTTCTTTCTCCGGGGGGGGGGGGGGGGGCCTTGAAGTGTTGGGGGGGGGGGGGCGGAGTAAAATTTTCGGGGGGAAGGGGGGCGAACACTGTTAAAAGTATATATATTCTATATAAATCCCTCTCCCCCGCCGAAGAGATGCCTGGAAGAAACTGGTTAAAACAGCTCTGTCTTCACTCGGACAATATTCTGTACCTTTGTCTAACCTTGGCGTTGAAATATGACTTTCGGATTATATTAATATATAGAACGTTCTATAGTATAACATTTATGTTTTACTTCTATGTTATTTGTTTAGAATAGACTGGGGTTGTATTGATAGTGTAGATTGGCATTAACCTTTTGGTATTTACTGTTGTAACGATCTTTTGTTTTATTAACCTTTTAGTGTGTTTTTTATGTTTTGCCCGTCGCACTGGATTACCCGTAAAGGCGTGTCCATATTTGACAACGTATTCATTATTTGATTATGATTATATGATGACGCGCTTGTGACGTAGAGCCCTCCCTCGCTGCACGCCCAACATGACCATTATGACGCGTGTGGATAGATCTGCATACTAATTTGGTCCAAATTTTGACTAATTCATAAAAAATTAATTAGGCATCCAATTAAGTCAAATTTAAGGTCATAATGCATTGTCTTCATGTCTTGACCCACGTACCAATTACGAACCGTATATGTCAGTTAGAAGTGTCCGAATGTTCGCTCCGACGTTTCGATCTAGACAGGAAACAAGTAAAAAGCTTGTAAAAAAAGGTTTGATCCGCGTTGTGAACAAACAACAAATTTACACAAACACCGGTATTCCGGTTTTTTTTTTGGTACTTTTTTCAATAATGGATGTTTTATTAATTGTTTCATCCTCGATAATTAATTTTTGCATATATAATTGTAAAGGAAATTAAAAGATCAACGAGAAAGATTTTCTGTAATGTTTCTACAAAGAACCCACAAACGCAGTGCTTACCATTTAGTAGCGTTATGACAGTATTCATTAAACAAAAAGTTAGGTATCTGATTGCATTCATGTTTAGTATGTCGACAATACTTTTCTGATTACAAACATTCTTACACAGTATGGAGATAGTATCAGTCTGACTACACAAGTTAAGACTTGAACATTCAGTTTGTGACACTGGGAAGTCTGTGTTTACTACATAGCAGGCCAGGCTTAGGTTCTGGAAGGTTCTGTCGGCCACTAGACTTGTTCTACTCTCCCAGCGTTCTGTACAGGAGTCATCTCCTGGCTGGAGGGCTACTAGACAAAGGAAGTTATTGAAACAATTAAAAGTTAACTAGACAAAACAATGAAATATAAACACATTTTACTAGACTAAAATTAAAATAAACATGGATAGATCAGACTAAACAAGTAAATAAGGATGAAATAAATTAATAACCACTCACACATTTATTAAATATTATATCAAACAAAGCGCTTCTATTAAAAAAATATATTATTACCTTTTACATTGGTCTATTGTATGCAGTGTTACTTAAGTTTAACGAAAAGAAAACAAATAAATTCAACAAGAATTCGATTTCTAAAATATTTCATTAATAGCAAAATAAAATTAAGCACCTAATGGTAAGTGACTATCCATATTAAATATCTTACGCGATTTAGTAGTAACTTGTTGGTTAATGGCTGTGGTGATATCAACTCCATTACTGTAATACTTCCATTGTATGGAACCTTTCCCTGGCCGTCCCAAATTAGCATTGCAAGTGACATTTATAGAAGATCCTTCAACGATTCCATTCTGTGGCATTACACTTGTAAAGGCTGGAGACTTAGGTGGTACTATAAGAAAAAAAAGAAAGAGTGTCCTGGATTTTGTGTTGTATATTGAATGCTTATTTAGAAAAGACTGTTGATTTGTGCTAGGACATGGGACTTGATCGAATACACAGCTGAAGCGTGCATTAAGGTACACTTTTTTGTGTGGCAAAAATGCTCTTTGAGTCAAGCAGCACATTTATGTAGTTGTAGCTACAGAATTTATGGTTTTTGGTATGTCTCGTAAGACACAAGGTCCCTTAATATTGTGTTCGTTTTTTTGTAATAACTGACTTTATGCATCATTAAACGAATGCAATGGATAGTTAAAAAGATATTTTTAATAGCAATAATTATTACAGCTGCCCGTAATGATACTGGGTCCACAATGTGGCCCCTTGGCCTGGCGTGTTCCATTAAGAACTTACGAAATCGCAACGTTATCTTATCTAGTTGTTTTATTTATCCACAGGCTGGTCGGCTGTAAAATACAATTCACAAACTTCCTCAGATCTGAGTGATA